TCACTACCAGTGAATTCTCGCTGTTGTCGCTAAGATGCTTTTGCCCTCATCGTGAACTCAGCGAGCACTGCACTGCACCCAGTTATTTTCAGGAGAGTCACTGTGTTCCCTACGGACCCGACAGGGTATCTTTTTTTAATGAATCACTTTCGGTATCTTGATTGGTGTGCCACTCAGATGATTCCTTGTCAGTCCTTTTTTTTCTTTCTCGTATTACCATCAAGCTTCAAACTTCTCTGGATATAATTTCATCGTGCCCCAGAGCCAACATGTCTCACCTTGAACGTTTCTCGCATAACTTGCCAAGGAAAATCAACTGACCCCTAGAGAAACTGTTCGGGTGGAAAGCCTTATTGCATGCCAATAACATTCAACCTTTTCTGAAAATCAGTCGCATTCGTTATTTGTCAGACCTTATCTGCGCAACTCAGGAACAGCAGAAAATAAACACGCCACTTTGAACTCAACCAAAGTAACGCAAGCGAGGCAGCTGTAAAACTTGCGAGTAACCCGATAAGCCTGACCTGTCGAGCAGACGCGTTAGAGCACTCTGGAAGGTGGATCGATGTTACTTTCTACCCTCCAGAAGACGAATCTTCTTCCTCCGGCTGGGACCTCTCTGTCTCGTCAGTAAGCTCCAAGTCGAGATGCTTCGAGGTACCGTTCATCAAAGACTCAAATCTTATTCTCGTTACTGTCGTGGCTCAGCTTGAGCGAGCCCGAAACGATGCGGTGTTCGAGCAACAACTTGAGTCGGCGAGGATCCTTTCAAATTCCTTGCAATTTTACTCGTACACTCGAGCGAACCGGATCCAAATCTACTGCGTGCCGTGCCAAACAGGTCCGTCCTTTCCTGGTTGATGGTTTTCATATCCGCGTCTAGGAAAAATTGCTTCAACCGCGCGGAAAAATACCCTGTCGAGCTCACTTCGTTAGGGACTTCGATGTATGTAATCCCACAGAGAGAGATAAAATCCAGCGAAAATATGCAGTTTCGATCCGTTTTGCTACGCGTCCGCCACGATGAAGACTTACTTTTCGTCCAGCAAAGAGCGCGGGAACAGCCGCAAGACTTCTTCATGTAGGCTTTCGAGTAGTGCCAGTCGTATCGGTGGGAGAAGCGTGTCGCCCCTCGCAGAGACTACGTCGAGAAGATATCCGTGCTCCCTTGCAGTCCACGAGTGTAACAAACGACTCACAACGATGGCTAGAGTGCTCATGGGCTCTTGCAGGTGTAATAGCATTGTCAAAGTGCTGAAGATGCCGCCAAAAAAGACTGCATCATAACAGGCCGCGACCAACATTTGGTTGTAGCTTTGGAATTCCTCTCCCTGGCCACTAAGTTTGAGAGTTGTGAGATGCAAAACGCCGCAGCAGAAGCAACAATCTCATTACTTTTGGAACACCCCTAGTACACCTCAATCGACTGTTGTTTCAGTATGAGGCCTGTTCAAACGCCGATACAGAACCAAATGTGTTAAATTTTGCAACAGATAGATAAATTCATTTGGATCCTTTTTTGACGGGACACCAGATAATGTCTTCTGTCCATGATCCTCCATAGACTAGGCTGAGTAATGGGAGGTTAATAATAGACACAACCATCCCTTGAGAAATACTTCATTGATGATTCATTCTGGTACATTCGCAATGCTGTCACAAGGGAGAACATTAGTAAAAATTGCAACTTCAGTGCCAAAGTGGATTTGCTTCTCATCTTCCTCCTAGTGCATCTGAAAAAGTGAAAATTCCAGCCTTTCATACTAGGTGGACAAGGAAGCATAATCCAGTTCCCTATGTGGAGAGGTGGAAAATAAAAAGGGATAAGGGAAGCGGACTCACCCAGACAGAAGGACTGAGGGGGTTGAGACAAACCTTACTCCCTTCAACGATATCTTCCACCTCGGCTTCGGCTGGACGATGATGATGAAGACGAGGAGGAACTCCTCGTCCGTCTCCTCCTCCTCCTTTTCCTTGAACTCTGCTCAGCAGAGCGAGAGCGGGACTTCCTCCGCTTTCTCTGCTTCCTCCCATCTCTGCTCCTACTCCGACTCCGGCTCCGACTTTCTCCTTTTCTTCTCCCTCTTTCACGAGACTTCCTCCGCTTCTTCCGGTGGCTCCGGCTTCGACTGCGACTCCGCCCTCTCCTCTTTCTCTCCTCTGATTCAGAAGCAGAGTCAGAGGTATCTTTTTTCTTTTGCCTCTCTTTCTCCCACTCAAAGTCTTGTTTTTCACCGCCTCCTCTAGCTGTGGCAAAAATCAAAGGGGCATACAGGTGATTCATTCATGATGATGAAAGGAAAGAACTACTACTTCCAATGCTCCTTGAATGATCATAGCCCTTTGGCATGAAGAATGCTTTGCAGGGAATACTCTAACAGCAACGAATGCAGAGGAATTACTGTTGTGCCTCAAAATCAATACCAATCCCTAGCTGCATTCCTCACTTCATAAAATAACACATAGGCCAAAAAAAACTGATAATAGGTTGTATTAACCACAAAGTCAGCTCAACTTTTGAGGCTACAAGGCCCTGTTTCACATAAGCAAGAACACGGTATGCACCATTCTGCTGCAAACTTCACTGTTCTTCAAGACTACCTTTAATGCAAGGGGTTTCACCATTGTTTGTACTGATCCTGAACACCTAGCAATCTTCTTCTGGATAATCTTGGCTAGTTCCTACGACCACAAAGTAGCAAGTCGACACATCTGGCTGATGCAAAAGTTTAATAAGGGGTTGATCTCACACATAGATGCTGCTTTAAGAAAAATTGCAAGGAGTTGTTGCCTTACTCTGCTATGAAAGACAGTGAAATAGAATCTCCTAAAAAAAAGCTCTACACAAGCACAAGACCAGTTTCATAGTGCTTGATCCTACAAATGCTGAGACTGATGTCAATTGTTTATATGATTGCAAAAGACCATTCACTCAGCACCTTTGAGGGTATAGTGCCAGGTATAGGGTGTAAATTTCTTCACTAGCACATCTTGGAAGCAAAGGTACATTTGATGAGAAGTGGAAGATAACAGCCATAGCTTAGCTTCTTCTCCTTGACCAGAAGCTACATGCATGATGCAAAAAACAGATGAAGGACTTTCTAAGATTGAGGAAGATCCAAGAAGTGGAAACCAGCCTACTCTTGTGCCTCTGGAGGAGATGGTTTCTGACAATGCAAGTATCTTTCACCATCAGAGGATCTGTCATTAACCTACTGAGGTGAATTTTTTGCCAGAAAAAGAAAGTAAGGGAAAAAAATATAAATATTAAATATTTTTATTATGGGAATATACATATTAATATATATATATATATTAAGAAATAAATCCTTCCACAGCACCTGCCAGCATTGGAGATATGAGGGGGGATGAACCAGATCCCAGACCTCATACTTGCCTAATTCTGAAGGACATGGTGAAGGATGCTGGCCGCGCCCAAGATTGCTGTGTGCTGGAGGATATCGAGTGAGATTTCACACTCCAGCTTCCTGACATGTCCCTTGAGGTCTTTCAGGACAACGCCAGTTGTGCCTATGACAGGACAGGTGTGGCAAGGCTGTTGAGGGTAGAGATCTTGTTTTTGCCGGACAGCTCGGTCTTCAGTACGAGGCGGACTCTGCGTTTGTATTCTGTCATCAGTCTTTGCTTCGTGCGCTTGACAGCCACGGAAGAGTTCTCTTCCACACCGAGATACTTATAGGTGTCAGGGGCCGTAAGTTCTCAGAGCTATTCGTCGTTGGTGGTGGTGATATCTCCTGTAGGGGTGAGGGCTCCGCAGTGGATAGAGAGCTTCGCACACTTGTCAAGTCTGAACTTCATGCCTTTCGAGAAGATGCAAACCCCTTTCCTATGTAATAACCACTGTCAGTCTGAGCTAGCTCAGTACTGAGAGGGTTGAGAGCCAGACAGAAGAGTAGTGGAGATAGTGTGTCTCCCTGGAAGATCCCACGTTTGATGGAAATCTTGCATGTTGTCAGAGTGGAGTCCTGTCCCTTGAGGGACATGACCGTCTTCCATCGAGGCATGGTCTGTTCGAGGAAGTTGACCACCACAGGGTTGATGTTGTACATCCCGAGGCACTCGATGATCCATGAATGGGGCACCGAGTCGTATGCCTTCTGGTAGTCGATCCATGCCATTGAGAGATTCTTCTTCCTTGTTCTGGCATCATCCATGACCATACGGTTGAGTAAGAGCTGTTCCTTGCAGCCGTATGATCCTTTCAGACAACCCTTTTGCTCTTCCGACATGATGTTGTCATAGATGTGTCGTTCAATTCGTGCTGCCAGGATGGAAGACAGCACTTTGTAGATGGTTGGCAGGCANTTGAGGGACATGACCGTCTTCCAGCGAGGCATGGTCTGTTCGTGGAAGTTGACCACCACAGGGTTGATCTTGTACATCCTGAGGCACTCGATGATCCATGAATGGGGCAACGAGTCGTATGCCTTCTGGTAGTCGATCCATGCCATCGAGAGATTCTTCTTCCTTGTTCTGGCATCATCCATGACCATACGGTTGAGTAAGAGCTGTTCCTTGCAGCCGTATGATCCTTTCAGACAACCCTTTTGCTCTTCCGACATGATGTTGTCATAGATGTGTCGTTCAATTCGTGCTGCCAGGATGGAAGACAGCACTTTGTAGATGGTTGGCAGGCAGGTGATAGGTTTGTAATTCCTAGGTAGCTCTGTTTCGGCGTTTTTCGCCAGTAGGTAGGTGACTCCTGCAGTTAGCTAGTCCGACACCTCCGAGGAGTTTGTCACTACTTTCTGCATTTCTCTGACGAGTTGTTCATGTAGCAATGTCAACTGCTTCAGCCAGAAGTTTGGAAGACGGTCGTGTCCCAGGCTCTTCCAGTTCGCTGTTTGTTCAAGCGCCTTCTTCAGATCAGATGTTGTCATCTGGGGGTCATTCATTTCAGGAATGTCTTCTGACTCCCTCTGACATCAGAGCCATATGGCATCAGCTTTGTGGCTCACCGGGCACTCCATGATCTTTGACTAGAATTCCAGTTCTGCCTTGTCAGGGATCTTCATTTTTATGGGTTTCGCTCCCAGTTCCTGATAGAATAGCTTCTGGTTGTTCATGAAGCACTCGTTGTGCCGGAAGTAATTGACCCTTTTCATGTACCACCTTATCCTCAGGGCCCAAACTTGGATCTTCATCTTCATGTTCTCTATGGCGGTCGGGAGATCAGCATCAGAGGAAAAGAAAAGGATAAAGGAAAAGAAAGTGAAGCTCTAGGCTAGATTTTTTACGCTTTTCGACCAGTATCATCAGGTTTTCCTTTATAGCCTTCTTCTGCCTGGACCCCCTAATCTGCCCGGCGTTTTACAATAAAATCAGGATTCCTGTCAGAGGATTCCATGGTCGCTGGGCTGGCTGGTCAAGGGCTTATCCTTCTGTCTATGTATATCCATCACATTATTTTCGACTTGGAAGGGGCAATATAATCTCATTGCCCTTCCAGTTAATTTCGCAAGTTTGCCAGATTCTTGGCTCTGAAACATCCTCTCCCTCTCTCTTTTTATATAATAGGCATTAAGATGTATTAAGATGAATATTCCCATCATAAAAATATACAAAAATCCCATTCTAGAAATATATAGAGAAATACAAGGATAAAAAAAAATATAATAATAAAAATCTGTGGCATCTGAGCAATTGGGGAGCAGTTTTTGACCAATTTAAAATGCATTGAATCAAACGTCCACATTTGGATCAGTATGCCTGAAGAGGTTAAAGAGATACTGGGTTCTTATCTGGAAAGAAAGGAAGCACTATCCTCCACAGAAAATATCCTGACTTCAGAGTTACTTGGAATGAGGCATCTGGCTTTAGTCATTCATCTGCCTTCCAAACCAAGAAGAAAGGAAATGACATAATACAAGTCAAAGTTGAAGGGATGGATGAAGCATCTACTGCAAACCAGTGGAAGTGGGCATAAAACTGCAGGCTGTTTTTTCACAGTTCCCACTCAGATGATGGTCCATGCCTTACTCCATGGCAGGGAATCAAAGAAGCATCAACAATGGAAAACTTTCATATTGGACATTGGAACAAACGAAACAATGCCTCATTCCCTCATCATGCAGTATCTCCATAATGACATGCAGACAGGATTTTGTAAAGTGGCTCACAAGACATCACCAATTTGATGAATATATGTTGGGAAGAATCACTATATGCTGTAGGGCTGTAATTTGAACCACTGACTGTAGCAGTATTGTCACCTTCAGATGGCACTCTCAGTTAAAAATGAAATGCAGAGTAGGTCTGCATGAAATTTTATTAATTTATTATAGATAAAGAAGGAGTCAATGAAATTCTGTTTTGGAGATACATCAGCCTGTGTTGCAGGACTTTCCAAAAACAAGCTTTGTCATACTCCAAGCTCAACTCCATAAAACTTTTTTTTTTTCACTCAAGAAAGGTGAAACTTCAATTTTAACTTATGGAATTTAGGCTTTTCATCTTTGACCATTCTTTGTATCATACATTCAAGATGACTTCATGGCCTTAATTAGATATCCCCTAATTGTTTAATAGTTTTAAATCCATCTATGATTGGCTGCTAAGAAGCCTGCAAGGGGATACATACTTATAACAATAATGGTAATGATTTGCAGGTAAATACATATGCAAGATCATAATTTTTCTGCTTCATTGCACCTGTATCAATGTATACTGGATTGAAATTAGGCACCTGTGGAAAAGAAATGAGCCTATGACATAAAGTCACATGTCGCCCTAACATTTCACACTTGGGTCATGGTTCTGGAAATATGGTAATATTTTGCAATTACTGGTAATATTTTCTAAAAAGAGGTTTTGAAAATTCAAGAGCATCATCATAGCTGGATGGAATAGGTACTGGTATTATTAGTTATTTACTGGTATGAACAATATTGGTAATTCTGTGGGCTGCACAAAGTGATCCAGCTAAAACAAAACTGCCTGTGGAATGAACTGATTGCTGATGACCTACTGTTCTATTTGAAAGGAAATATCAACATGAAATTGAGAAAACCAGGAATAACAGCAGGTAGAGAGAGAGGCTGAATGATAAATTTATTTTGGGAAAGGTCTCAGGGATAAAACAGGGATTCTATAAGGCTAATGCAACATCCTTTGGAATCTGAATCATTGAGCAGAAACTAAAAAACTTTCCAGACATGTTTGATCAAAATTCACAAATACTCCTCATTGAGAAAATGCCACCAAAGAGTTAAGCCATTCTCAAGGGTAAGTGCTTGTTGGCAAGAGCCTGTATCCATGAAGAGGCATACAACCAAGCTAAAAACACAAGAAGCAAGCTGATAACCCATGGATGAAGCTAGTCATGGTTACTAAGAGTCAATGCTTCTTCAAATATCAATGGATGCCTCATGGATTGCAAACCAACTATTTTCATGTCAATTCTGGAATATATAATTCCTCATATTGCCCACTCATACAGACATTCCAATTGTATACTAAGAGTGTTCAGTGTATTCCCAATTTGCAGCTGAAAAAGATACCACAATGGTATATAGGAACTCTCTGACACTCACCTGAAGATGACATCTTCCCTTTTGCTTCCTTTTTACCTTTCTCTTTTTCTTTTTCCCTAATTAGTTTAGTGTCATCCTTCCCCCTTTTATCTGGCTTGTCTAAGACTGTCTCTTCTCTTGTTAGTAGTTTCTCTCCTCTGAGCTCTCTCCTTTCTTCTGTCCCCTCCTTTTTCTCTCCTTTCTCTTCACCTGATCTGACTTTGTCTTCCTCTTTTCTCTGCTCCTCTTCAGCCTCCTCTTCAGAGTTTGATTCACTTCCTGACTCATATGCTGCAAGCCCTGAGAAATTAATGAAAAAATATGTGCATGCATGCATTGCCACTTCACATATAATAACTAATACATTACTGTAAGAATGTAATGATGAGGAGGTCAAAAGAAGAAAATTACCAATGATATGATAACAGAAGTCTCTTAGCTAAATGATAATGTAATAGATGCTACTCCTGAAGAAAGCTGGTATCTTCCTGTAATCAATCTAGAGTGATGAGGCTGGGGGCAACATAAGGAGGAGGGCTTAGATTCTCATCAAAGATGAAACAAGAAATACATCAACATCTGTGGCTATTATGGTAAAAGAATCCTAATTTGCAAGGAATCTACAATTCAGCTTGTACGATTTGATGATCAATCAAATATTAAGATTATTTACTGACATAATTGTCTCCTGCTCCAAATCACTCAAGAATCTACCCTTTTTTTTTATTCACAACTAGAGAAAGTCTTCCCATTACTTGCAGGTGATTGAAGAGGGAGTGAAGGTATGAGCCATGTCTTTTTAATTTTATACAAGCAGACCTACTATGGATCTCTTTCAGATAATCAGTCTGAAGAATAATCAGGCAGAGTGAAAGTCAACAATCAAGTTAGGATTTCATGCTGCACATGAATGAGAATGAAGATTCAACAGGGCAGGTAGAAATTGGCTGAGTTGTGATAATACTGAGTAGAATGCCAATCAATAAACCTGCTCAGTTACCTGAACAGTTAAAAAGAACATTTGAAAGGTGGACCTAATCTTGACAGAACTTAATGGAGAAAGGTTCTGGACATAGCTTCAAAACAGAATGAGGCAAACAAAACAGGACCAGAATGTTTTGTTGCAAACCCTTTGACTGTTATAACACAGGAGGATGGCTGATACGTTTTCGTATAAAAATTGGCCCTGCTTGAAAACAATATTTTATGTAAGAATATGTCATATCATGATAACTATTGAAGAGAGCAGTTACATGCATGAATAGCTGTGAAGTAATATAGAAACAATGAATGCTCTGAGCCCAAGAACAAACCCATGCTACCACTACACAAGCCCGAGTATGTACTCAGGCAAAGAGCCAAAGGGTATTGTAAAGGAAGGACTGAACCATAACAGACAGTGGGATGGGACAGACAAGATGGGGGCATTATGTCTTCATTGAGAGAGCTGGACAAGTAAAAAGCTTGCAAAATAAGCTACCCCACTCTTTAACCCTTTGAGGAGTGGGTTTTTTTAATGCCTAGGAGAACACTCATAATGAATACATGCAGGGCAGGAGGATGTCAGCCCGTATATATAAGGGCATACTCGTCAAAGGGTTGAGGTATAATGGTGCCTTAGAGTAAGAATCATAGTGCAAAATGGCTTTTCCTGCATAAATTCTGACCCTCGTAAATTACTATCCAATCATGAACAAATTTCAATAATCAACATATTCCCTTCTGTTGCAAAGTTTTGCAGAAGCACAGGTGGGGATAGGAAAATTTTCATTGTTTTGGTCTTCTTCAAGAAACTGAACATCTACACTGATGTTTCAAGCATTGATCTTACTTACTTGAAAGTACTTACACATAATGTAAACATTGACAATAAAGAAGTAACCAATCAGATCATAATTAACCCCTTCAGTAAGGCTGCTATCAGAATAATACCCTTATTTGCATTTTTGAGCTTCTCTGTGATTGTAATTGAAATTTTCATGCTTTATATGTAGTTTTCATAATTTGTATAAATTTACCATATCATGCCATATATTATATATTGAACATTTATTTAAATAACTGAAGATTACAAAACTAATGGATGAAAGAAGGCCTCTGACAGAACTGAGCCATGCATAATTGCACCCTTTGTAGCATAATATGGAGCTTGAAGTCATGAGAATCCTAAGAAATTGCTATAGACACAATTTAAATGCAATGTCCATTGGAATGGACACCAGGTCTGAAAGGGTTAATGAGGTATAAATAGATTTACTGCAGAGATTGTATGCTTTTTTTTCAGGTCTTATAAAATGAATTAATAGAGAACGTAGTGGAAGTATATATAAAACTGACAAAATCCAGCACTCACAATAGCATACACTATGTTTTTAAAAAATGTTACACTGTTGCTGCACTTTTCTCATCTTGGCTAAGTGCTTCAAGGGGGGAGGCACAAAATAACGAATTTCCAGTATAATAAAAAAAAACCTTTCAGCAATTACTTTGTGCAAGACAAGGTGACACAATTTCATGAATAAATGAAGGAACTAGAAAGCCAAAACCCTTGTATATAGGACAACAAAGAAATCCTTAGGAACAAAACTAAAGAAAAGGTAAGAAGTGCCGGCAAAGAACTCTACAAAAATATTTTTTCCATCCACAATATTAACCCATGGAAGATGTACCTTTGCATTATTCATAGAACCTTTTCACAATTGAATAGCTTTTGTCATAAATGCAGATGACATATACATTTACAGACAGTGATGGAAAAGGATACTTCCTTTGAACCTGATATGATAAATTAGAAATTCCCAGGAGGGATATGCAAGCAAGTGAAGCAGATCAGGCTGGCCTTGTCTTACCCTCCCCTCCAATCATGAAGCAAAAACTTCTAGAAATTTCTTCTTTTTTTTTAAGAATGGTCTTTCACAGATATATCCTATCCTCCATGGATAAAAGGTTGAACAAGAGAATTCATGAAGGGTACCTACAAATGCTTCTTCTATTTCTATTTCTATTTAATATAGCTAACAGACTTTTAACTAATGGGTCTGGAGATGAAGTACAGACAAAGTTTCCAGATTTTATTAAATGCAGTTTCAGTAAAATTAGCCTGACATCATCATGCTACTCCAATTCCATTACTATGCACAGGTAAGGAAGGATGGAGAGTAGAACAACAAAGAAGGAATGGAACTGAAGGAGTCCTTTATACAGTATGCTTCTGCCCCTATTAGTGTGAGAAATCATAGCATATGCTGCATAAACTCTGCTGGCAGGAACTTTCTCAAGCATGATGTGTCTTTTCCAATCCCCATTCTTTTTCTTGTCTTCTTAGATACACATCAATTCTTAAAAAAAAATCTGTCTTTTATATTCTGATTAGCTCACATGATAAGCACAATTTGAGTATTCCAGGTACAAGAGCAATAAAGGCATACAATCATGCTTCATAAATCATATTTGAGATGGCAGCCAAGGATCAGGTGATTTGAATTCACTAGATCAAGCCTCAGCCTCTTAATAATAGGGCCATGGGATTCATGTTGAATTCATGTTCTCAGTAGCCTACATCAGGCTTCATGGTTGAGGCTTCAATCATTTTCAGGATATGTAAGGATCATATGGCTGTCTCTCCATGATGGAAAGGGCTTGAAATATTGATTGTCTGCCATGTTTTGACTTGAAATTTCCATTAACTGGCCCTGTTGCACTTTTCCTTGCCCCACCTTTTGAATTTTTTTTTCATCCATTCCATCCCATCATAATTCCCAGGAAAAGGCATCTTGATTCCTGCAAACCTTGTTCACAGGTTTGCAAAGGTTTTTCTAACCTGTTTACAGGTGACTCTTACACTTGTAAGTTTTGTATCTTGCTTATAGTTGAGGGTTTCTAGATGATTCTTACTATGTAGCATTTGTACATAATGATTATAGTTTTCTAGATTTTTTGCAGTAAGTGATTTTTAAAATAAACTCAATTATCCAGAAAATAAATTCACATTATCCATTCAACTCCATATCAGTTTGGATGAACAACATAATCTATTACATATATTTCCCATATTGATAAGAATAATCTTCTATACAGGGCTGTACTTCATGAGCCCAAGGAAACTTCTATATTGGTCGAAGCATAGGAAATCTTCAGGGAATTAGGAACCCTTCACAATTCAAATTCTCAAATTCTAAGCTGGGATGTCATGTGGTGGGGTTACAGGTGTTACCAGAAAAGTTTAGTTCTCCTGGTAATGTCACTTCATCGTATTTATGGAGGACTAAAATGTCATATAAGAGAAGAACCTGTGGTGCTTTTCTTGTATGAAATACATATACTTCACCTATTACTCTATTTTTTTTTAGAGGTCCCAAAGAATGACAAGGTAAGAACTAAAAGGAGGTTATAAATTCAACCCACTATAAAAATGCAGTGATGAGTTTGATGAGAAAGGAACAAATGTGAACATTACTCAGGGTCATACCAAGATTCAAAAGAAAGGAAAGCAGAAAAGGTGGAACTCACCAAGACTCTCCTTCAGTGCAGCCAGGGCCTGAGCTTTATGGGTTGGATTCACACTTGATCCTGTTGCTAGAGAAGGCATCAATAAGGTTTCCCTTCAAATATATTACCAGTACAAATAAAACCCTGAAAGCATACCTTGCTCCTCCAAGTCCAAATGCACTGAATATAGAACTATAACTATCATCATACTGCAGTAATCATCATCATTACTAATACACCCAATGGTTGGGGATGCAACATTCTTTGTGTTTGTCTGCTTGCAAAATGAGAGCTATGTGAACCTTCCATCAGGCATGTCTACTCATAGACACTCACTTTTGGGAAAGAGACCATTACTAGTGCTGTAGTACGTCATCCATCATCATATACTCAGATTTTTCAAACATACAAAGATCTGTCATCTGACCTTGATTCAGGGCTTCCTTAGCTGCTTCTTCCATCATAGTCTGTGTCACCTCCAGAAGAAGCTCAGTGAGAAGTCGGCGCACAATCAACATCTGAAAATAAAAGTGAAGCCTGAAAAAACATTTCAAAGGCACAAAACAGAAATATTTGAAATACAAAACCATTACTGACAACAGATGCTTTCAGACTCAAGATCAAAAGAATAAAGATTCAAAATAAGATTTGAATAATTAGGATTTCTTGCTTGAAAAGCTGGGTTAAATGTTATTCAGACTAATGAAAAACTCAATGCTCAATTCAGATCACTTCCCCATGAATCCCAATTAAATGAAAATGAGATACAAATGGAGCTCAAACAAAAAGTCAATTCTTGATACATCCAGAACTGAGTTGAGTTATTTTGCTTTTATGCTATACCATATTTATTTATATCCTGGAAGTGCCAGGGACTTCCACCTTAGAAATGACCTTTAGGAAATAGTTCAGTACTTCTATAGTTGTCCTATAGTAGCAAAATTCTTAAAATCCCTAGACTATGGTAGGAGAGAAAGGCATATTAAAAAATATGTAACAGGTATGACATTTTAGAAATGTTCTAAAGAGAGCAGTGGCATGAACCACTTCTCAGCTGGAAGGGAAAAAGCCAAACTTAGAGCATAATATTGATTTTCATATGTGATTTTGTTGGTCTCTTCCACTTGCATTGGATGGAGGGAGGGAAAATATCTAACCTCTTACAGTTCTCATCTTAACACTTTCGATCTGACAGATGTAATTGTACATCCAGTCCTAACTACCATCAGATGACAGTGGATGGAACAGTATGTCCTTTAAAATTTTTCTGATATTGAAATAATTTAACATAATAAAATAGAGAACTTATACTTCAATTTCAAAAAAAGAGCAAGCCCCTATCATTTTGTGCTCTGAAGTTATGCATTTTTTGGCAGACCTCAAAATAACCTGTCACCAACCCTCTGAAGCAAAAGTGTTAATCTTCAGCAGCAATTCCATATTCTTGTAGTCATTGGGGCAATGTCTACTAGTCCAATGTCCAAAGCAAAAGAAGCAAATCTTCAAGATGGAGCAGAAATTTAAAAATATACATTCAAGATAATGAGAGAAGGGAAGAAGATGCCAGATGTGAACATGGTCTTCTGAGCTTAGCTGTCTCTACCATTTGGAAAAGTTAAGTCTCTGAAAAAACCAAGACTATAATGATTTACTTGGTCTCTTAAACGTTTTGACTGATTTCAACTGTACCATAACGACACGGCAGATCTAGAATCAAACCAGAAAGGAAATGATATTGCAGTCACCCTGACAGATAGGGAATCACGAGTGAAGTATACCCTGAACAGAACTCATACTTAGATACCAGACATTAAAGTACCTCACATTTTGACAATGACCTATTCTGGATGATTATTGGATTGTGAGGTACTCATTCAGCATGACAGACCATATAAGACAACCCAACTAAACACAGAAGTGAAAGGGAAGTAGAGAACCTGTATCTGGATCTTCTCTTCAGGATCTAGGGAGAGAGGCAGTGGGGGAGGCTCCTTCACTTTCCCCCGATCAGACAAAGAAGAAGAGGCATTTTGCTCTGGTGATCGTGAGCTGAAGCGAGACTTCCTGCGCCGCCTCAGGTCTAGTCTAGATTCTTTTTCTTCTCGTTTCTCTCCAACGTCTTCATCTTTCCGATCTTCTTCATCTTCCATTTCCTCCTCTTCATCCTCTCCTTCTTCTTCTTTGTTGACATCCTGTTGGATCTGCCTTTCCTTCTCTTCCATTGCTTTCCTCTCTTCTAAAACCTATATTATATACAATATTCTTCATGCATGATATCCAAAGTTCACAAAAAGCATTGACAATGTAGATGGAAAGTGGCTCCCATTTAGGAAGAGAAATCCTTGACTTTCTCTTATGTCATAGGTTCCAGGAAATATGTACTTGTCAGCCAGTGTAACCATTTTCGCTTAAAACAAGTTCTTTTTTTATTTATTTACTGAGTTAACATGGAAATTATTATCACTTTTAACCAACCAACTCCAAAGCCTTTTTCTGGAAAGCATGGTTCCAGAGTTCAGATAACATAGAAGAACTTCCATAATGTTGCAAAAAGCTTATGCTCAAAGTGATGTAAAAAAAAAAAGAAAAAAAGAAGACAGTTCCAGATTTATTGGAACAAAAGTGGTAAAAAATTGATTTATGAAAATGTCATCCAATTTACTATTCTTGCACTGAACGGATTCTAAACACTGACCAAATAAGCTCCACTAAACATTCATCACCTGGATTGGGATGGTTTTTCATTACTTTAGCAACATTCCAGTTAGATTAATTTTACACTTGCTTGGTGAACCTCACTTTTTGACTAATTTGTTGTGTCAGTAACACTGGAAAACTTTCCTAGTCAATTCATTTTTCAGCAACAACAAATGTCATTTGGAATGAAGAGTGATGATTGTTTATGCCTTCTTTCCTAAAATTAAGGATGCTTTGGTGAAGTTGAATCAGACAGATTTGTATAAGAAGCTTCAGGACAAAACCGCCGTATAAACAGTGTCGTCAGTAACATGACATGAATGGGCTAACATTTTTCCATCCATGGGGGAAATGAGAAAATTTTGGTTGGAATAGGGAAAGGTATCCATGCTCTATGAGGCACTGATGCAGTAGAATTTCAGGACTGAACCACCTGTAAGGTGGTTCAGCCCATCATACATGTTTTCATTTTGAGTTTGGTGTTACATTAGTAACTTTGGAACTTCCCAATATTTGAAAATTTCAGATTCAGATTCTTTAGATCCTGCTCAATGGAACTTGGCTTAAAGGTAAAATTTGGCTGGGAAGCAAAAACTCATTAAGTTTAATAATCACATAAACAACTAGAAAAATATGCTTGCAAGATATTGAATCTCAAGCAATGACAAAATTTGATGGATGTCAAAATTAGACAAATCAGTCATTTTAAAAAATCCACAAAATAATGAAACTTTGATTTTCCACTCTTAATAACCTATCACAAAATTTAATCCATAAAACTCTAAAATTCTTGACAGTAAAGTAACATTTGCCCTATGCAACTGTGACTCCAAATGATTAAAGGGCAAAAAATTAACCATATTTAATAAATTATCTATATAATGTTCAAAATCAAGAACTAGTACAAAGTATACTTTTATTTTGCAACAAAGCAGATATTTTTGAGTATTTTTTTGTCAGCAAAATGAAGGTACTAATGATAAATAAAACTTGTGACTGAATAATACAAGTAATGGTGCTCACTTCTTTCCAGTTGAAAAAGACAATATTTTCTAAATAATAGCTGATTACCAATTGGGAAATGGAATGGGACTGAAAGGAGGTAAGTTTTGATAAGATAATTCAACCTTTTTTTGAGTCTCACGGAGAAGTTCCTCTTCCTCTTGTTGCTTTCTCCTGAGGAATTCCATCTTCTCCTTTTCCATGCGCTCCTTCTCTTCTTTTTTGTGTTTTTCTTTCTCCATCTTCTCCAGACCCTCAAGAATCCAGGCAGGTAAGTGTCGTCTCTTGGCAGCATCTGGAATCAGCATGGAATTGAGAAATCATACAAAGGCAATACTATTTAAGGGCACATGTTGCTTTCCACAGTGAACAAACCTTGACCATACAGTCTGTCTAATGCTACTCTTTAATAAGCTCCCTCCTTAACCCTTTCAGACCTACCTGAGTTAAGGTCACTATTGGTATGATATACTTTTTTGCATTTTTGAGCTCTTTTTTTTTTTTACTCTATTTTAACTTTTTATGTTCTATATATCATTTTTACATTTTTGTATAAATTTACCATATAATGCCATATATGATATATTATACATGTAATTACATAACTGAATATTACAAAACTGATGGGTGAGAGAAGGCCTCCGATGGAATTGAGCCATCCATTATGGTGCCCATTGTAGAGAGATAAGTCATGAGAATCACAAGAAATTACCATAGACACAATGAAAATGCAATGTCCTTTGTAATGGACACTGGGTCTGAAAGGGTTAATTTACATAAGCCTTTGAAGGAGAGATTCAGGATATGTGGATAAGTCAATTATTCCAGAATTGAGGCAAAGTAAAAGGACTTCTCAGCTTACTTTACTGCCTTTGTAGTTCATGCGACTACTTTTTAAAATTTTGAAGAAAAAAACGTTTTTTTATTTATAGTACTGTCCCTCTGCAACATGATCAAGGAAGGGATTTTACACTTATCTGATTGACCTACAATAATTTTATGAAATAGTATCCTATTCCAAAAATGAAAAACTGAGCAATCCTGAGATTTTCATAAGCTGATATAGCTCATTCTCTCATGGTAAATGCAATCCTCTTTGATTTGAAATACATTACACAAGGACTCTTCCAGGTGCCTCAACAGGGAAATCACAGAATTATGAAAGGGCTCCATCCAGCCTACTACTCTGACATCTCACTATTTCTTTGAAAAGGTGCAATAATTACATAACATATGAAAATTGGATGATCACAAATTTACTGATCGATTTTTGCACCTCTATAATTTCAATGCAAATTTTTAAGAGTCAAGTTGATGCTGTGATGAGTACATCAAAATATAGCAATATAACTTCAACATAAATGAAGAAAATCATGCAAGAATTCATAAAATACAAGCAAGTCAACTTCCTCAGTCAAAGTTGATCAATTTCTTAGTTAGAATGCCAACTGCATTATAATCATGAAATGCCATGTCTCTGAAAACTGAAATCTAAACTTAAGAGGTCAGGAGTCAGAACTAACCAAGTGAGTCAACAGGGGGCCCTAGGGTCCCAGGGGCACCAGGATGACTCATAGAGACATCAAATCCCTTAGGGAAGTACTGGTACCCTTCTGGTTGAAATGGAGGCACATCTTCTTTTTTCACAAATGGAGGTGGCTGATGCCAACCCTGCTTCACTCCACGTGGGCCAACACCTACTTCACCCTCCTTTGAAAGTAAACATAAGAAAATCAATAGCAGAAATGCGTGAATGCCAAAATTTGTCAATACTCTGAGATCATGAAACTCCAACATCAAATTAACCTATTACTGGCACTGAATAACCATCTGATACTTTTTTTCTACTCAAGATGGTCATTTCATGAAAAAAAAAAAGTCCCACTCAGGATGCAGTCTGGTGCAGCCTCAGATTTTCCATTGTTGTCAGTCACTTAGGCATTGATCTCAAGGGATCATAGCCTTCAAATGTAGACTCCAAAATGCAAGGAATGACAAAAAAGACTATCTTTTAACTATAATATGTCTGCTCTCACTAATGCAATAAGTTATTTTGATAAAACATTCACTGTGCATAAAGTGATGTGTTAGCAAGAGCCCCTGCAAAATTCTATCCAAGTTGGTTGCACTGAAGTAAGGTTGAGATATTACTCTAAAGAAATGCGAAATTGAAAATGGACAGGGGACTTCAGTCCCAGAGTGAGTCTCCTTCTTTGATGTAAACCAGTGGGAATATTTGAAATACCTTTTAGTAAAATTATTTTAGCGATATTTTACAATTTTATTTGGCATCAACATAGAAAAGGTGCATCAAAACCACCTGTAACAGAGGACGAGTCCCAAGAATAAATTTCCACGAAAGAGAAGTTCAATGAGGCCTGGGTTATATGCAACCACAGTGAAAAGGCATTTACTACTTCACTACCAGGATAGGATTTTGTCTATTTACAGCATTAATCTTCTTTTGAATTGCTCATGGCCTAGCTTCAGAAAAACTAATTTGGATGCAATTTCAAATATCTATCAGAAACATACTCATTTATGCACATTGTAATATTTGTGAAAATAGTTCTAGCAGTGAATATAATTAGATGAAATTGTTTGCCGTACCCTATATACTTTGTCTAGTAATTTACTAAAAATGTTCACATATTGGTAATAAATGTTGGGATTCAGATACACTGCAAAAGGTATCCAGCAGGTATTAGGGGCCAGTAAGCGGTGCTCATTCCATTGATACAGCAAATACCAACCAACACTAATTCCAGAACTAGTATTAAAGCCATTTTGATCAAAAGACTAAGTCATGCAAAGCAAAGCAAAGGAGAGGCAGTTCAGAGACTCACTAGAGCAGGTGCATTCATGTTTGTAGGGGCACCATGGTTGTATTCAAATGTCTGGGCAGGTGCTTGGATGCCATCCCATTCCACCCCTTCACTTCCACTCCATTGATTTCCAGACCAGAAATTCCAGCTTCCCCAGGAATCCTCACCTCCATATCCATGGCTTGGGTTTGAATCTTCACCATAAGCTACATGAAAAAATAGCAGGAGAATGAAAGTAATGATGGAACACAGTGAAACAGCTAATAACAGCATTGGTAGTAAGGATAATAAGGAGTCAAGCTTTGCTTAGGCAAAGGACTTGATGGAATCACTTTCAAAAAGCAATGGAAAGTAAAATACAAACTTTTGATGCCTGAAGGAACCTCATCCTGGCACTTCATTGGAGAGCTTCCTTTAAATTCCCGTTGAATGGACCCATCAGATGGCTTTATTTGTGGAGGATTTGAATCTTCTTTCATTGTGGCAAACAGAGGAACAGATGGAGGGTCAGAGGGTGGGGATGACTGCAGTGGTGAGCCTTCTCCAGGTGGAATATCAGGTGCAGGTGGTGGAGGAGGCAATGGTGGGGGTGGTGGAGGAGGACCTGCATTCATGCTGTACATTGCCTGCTGTTGCTGATATGCTGCAGCCGTTTGTTCTGTTGCTTCCTTCATTGCAACCCACTGCTGAGCCATTGCAGCCCAATCAACTGCAGCACAGAACAAAACTAATCAGAATAGTCCTCCCTACAAAAATATCCAGTATATGCCTCAACTTGGAGATTCAAGAAAAGTTTGCTTAATTTAGCTCAATATTTTTCATAGAGCAATATCATTTCAAATGGGCTAAACCATGGGAAGTTGTGAACGAGAAAAGTTCTCAGAAGTCTTACCATTTATTGCAATTGTCAACAGCATGTCAACAGCAACAGACATCAACTGATCAGCATTTGCTGATGGTAAGGTGCAGTTGCCAAAATTCTGGTTGTTGGTAATTTATATTGATGTTTCTCTGGTCATTGGTGGTCTACACACCAAGACATTGAGAAAATCCAAGTCCTAAGGTTCTCTGATCACATTTTATAAATTTATTTTGGAGACCTGACTTGAATAAACCTCTCTCAACCCCTTCCTGGGTGACAACACACCCCCTGATGAAACCAGGAAAATGATGAAATCCACCTACTCCAGAGAAAGGGTTAATCTCTTAAATCTTAGAGTGTAAGGGATAGAGATGTCATCAGGGAAATGACTTGAACCAATAAAGTTTTAGAACTTGGACCTATTCTCCTTTTTCATGAAGATGGAATTTCAGAAGAATTGTCATGATCAGAAAACTTTGTTCCTAATCATTCAGAATGAGGTATTAAGAACATTGATTGTGTCTGATAAGTGGGCTGAGTATGCCACTTTGAACCAGTATGGATATCAGCACCAAACTGTGAACTACCAAACAAACTTTGTCAATCCCATAACAGGTGCCAATTTTCAGACTATTGCATGCATGGGTGGTGTGAAAAATGAGGAAAATGTATGGCACCAACCTGGACATGCTCCCATGAAATCTGCAGGAAATTTGGTGGTGCTCAATGAACCAAGGAATCAATACTTTCTTAAGCTCATAGAGAGACATTCGCTGAGGGTTCAAATTGTATCATTATGCAGTGACAAGCTCATCAGGTTCTTTGTGTCACAGCACTTTGAAGGGTTATGCCAATGTGTAGTGTGTAGACCACCAAGAACCAAACACCAATAAATATAGTATAGTATGTAGACCACTGGCCTTATGTAGACCACCAACAACCAGAATGCCCATTTGCCACTTCAACATGACAACCTCATGCCATGTACAGGATGACCCACCCATTTTAAATGCTTAATGATGAATGGTCATGAACAACACAAACCAATGGATGGAAGAAGCTGAAACTTGGTGTGTAAACTATTGACAGCATGGGGTTCTCAAATCAAACAAGGCACAAATACGGTAACATTTGTGCTATGAGTAGTGGTGAGTCCATCATAGTCAAGCTATCTCTTCCTGTCTTTAAAATAAACCTACTATCATCCTACCCCATCCCCTGGATAAAATGAACCCCACATTTCCAATGCTTGTTTGTCTCAATCTTAGAAGTCCATGCTGCCAGTATGTTACATGCCATGTTTCAACTACTTTAATCCATTGGTTTGTGTTGTAATTGACCATTCATGGGAAAATAGGTCACAATGTACATCAGCATCAACTTGTTTGCAGATATTCACTACATTCTACGTTATGCTATTTGCCTCTTATACAAGAAACCATACATCTAAGTATAAAATAATATCACTGTCCAATTGCTAATTTTTTTTACCATATATGATTACATATGTGGTGAGATATGAGAAAGCCACATGGGTTGCAAGACCAATATATGTCCACATATGACCTAAACAATTATACAGTCTGCCAAATATGAAATTTCACATGGATCAGAAAAACATGATGGGGATGACTTAGTTCAATAAGATGCATGCGTAGCACAATCAAGAAAACCTCCCTCTGTTTAGGCCATCAGTACCTGCTTTTACTAGTGGTTAAACATACGGGGTGGCCAAAAAAAAGTCCCAAACTTTATGCATCTGCAGATGGGACACCCTATTAAGTACAGTCTTGAAATTTTCAGTGTCATATCTAATATGTGTAGGTGGTTTCAGGAAAATTCCAGTGAAATTCTCTGCTCTGAACATGAGTGAGAGCTCTTTCCATATAGGTGTGTCAGTGCCTTCGGCTTAGTGTTGCCTCAGCAAGTGATAGGACTCATCAAACATTTATTTAATAAAGGTCAGTTGCACTTATTTTCACACTTGCCCTTTTGACATCATGCAGGAGAAAAAATGTTCCTGAGAGAGTTAACTACCAATTAAATAAAGAATTTTGTGACATTACTGCAAATATTGGATGTGAAGCCCTGTCAATTTCCTGTAGATAATTCATATGGTATTCTGTCTGCAGGTGTGTAAAGTTCTGGATTTTTTTTTGGGCCACCTGGTATATACACAGGCAAACATAAATTAAGGGTTAAGCTTTCTCTCACATTATTCTTTCCCAACACTAATAGTCTACCTTCCTAGTACTCTTGCATGCTCTATGATTCCTGCACTTCTTGATATTACAATAGAAACTTTAAGGGTATAAAAGCACATGGGATGACACATTTATTCTTCAATCTGAAAGGAGTAAATGCTCACTGTCAAGTCCCTATTCTTTTCTATTGTAATCTTAAATGCAGAAATCATACAAGCTAAAAGTATAGTAATCAAAACTGAGGAAATTGTGGGAGAAAACCACTCAGAAATTTAAATAACAGAATGGTGAAACTCACTCTGGTCATGTGAATATTTTTGATAGGTTGAAGCCTGGAATGCCCAGGCATTCCAAGGTGTGCCTGACCACATGATACAAAGAAGGTCTGGAATCACACACAGGACCTAGAATGGACCCTATATAAAGTTGGAGTAATTTGTTGATTGATTTGAAGATGAGCCTTCACGTTACCTACAAGAGCACAAAGGACAGCTGCAGCTTTTTGAGGTACATAATCCATAAAAGATTCAAAACTGATTAGTCAAGAGTTGTATCTCTTAAGTCTATGAGACTTCTGAAGTCTTATTGCAATAGTGCTCCAACTGTTGTCAAAATTCTATAGGAGAATGAATGAAAAGGGTTAAGTTGTCAGTGTATAAACCAAACTGCCACCTACAGGCCCAAATATATGAGACATTCAGGCAAACACTTAAAAGGTATAGGGAAAACAATAAACTCATAATACTTTTCCATTGAATCCAGCATTTCCCAGACCCCATAACTGCCAGCCCATTGCCAGCAACTACATAGTTTCCCTCCTCTTTGAAACTACCTGTTTTCATGGTAGAAATAAATCTTCAGCGACAGAAAACAGGTACATAGACCCCATAGATCATGCGACATGCTGTAATCAAAGGTGTTACAACTTAACATACAGCTCTGCATTAAGTCAGAGAGATGTGCTCTAAGACTCAATGTGAAATTTCTCCCTCTCACCCCATAATCTGTACAGCCAGCCTCAGTTGCCCTTGTGACTAATGTCAGCCAGATCTGTTTGCATGTTCAGTGAGAGAAAAGCATACAGATGAGGAATCAAAGATTCTTTTGTTCTGGGATATGAATATGGCTTTGAGGTTCGTAACACAATGAAGTGGGGCTTGACTTTTTAATAAAATCATACTAACAATCAAAAGTCACTTTATTGAGAAAAAAAATTATTTCTGGTTCATAGAGTGATGTAAGAGAGCAAGGTGATCCCTGCAACAGACTCCTGTGTCTTCTTTCCTTATTGTACAAACCAGTATCTTTCTTATATTTTTGCATCATCTTGTCTTTGTAATCACAAGCTTGTAGAAATGATAAGCAGGGGACATTCTTAATGGTATTAATTACAGTCATAACAGCATAAGATATGTCTTCTTGTGCATTGAAAGAAAAGCAGTGATTATCCACTGCTGGAAATTTCCATGCTTATATGTTCCAAGTCACTACATACATGCATAAACCAGGGGTCAAAAGTACTCTTCAACTCTCACATTAACCTGTCGATTTGCAACATTAAACCAAGCATGTGTTCAGGTGTATGTCTTATGAGATAATCAGTTCAACTGGTGAGATAACCTACCAATAGTATAGTTGTGAAAGATCTCCTCAACAAAATTGTACATCAACTTGTAGATCTGTAGAACAATTTTCATGGAGGTACCCAACAAATGAAATATGATTTTAATATATCAAATATGGATTTGCCTTTGGCATTTTTGGCATTGGATTTTACATCCAATATCTGAGAGTGCTCAGAATTCATGCATGTACCTCATCTCACAATCTAATTCTCATAGGAAGTGAGCACCTCAGCATCTTCAATAAACTACATTCAGATAAGTTCAATCACCAGAGAGCACATCCAATAAGCAACCAGTACCATTAACCTAAGCATTCAAGTCAAGTGGCACAAACCCTAAGTATTGGAGTTTCTTTTTTTCCCCCTACCACTATGGTAAAATGCATGGCTTTTTTGTGAAAGGGAACTTTTACATAGTACTCAACTTTCACTGCATGATCTTGCTAGGTTTTCAGTCAAGAGATGCTAAAGGACCAGCAAATGACTTCTGGAACACTGAACTTCATACTGCAGGTCCTCATATGGCAAGATGAGTGCTCCACAAAATCTTCCATGTAAGTCTTCATGAAAAGATACTATGTCTTGACTGTACATCATCAATAAAGTGAGCAAGGAAGGTTTGAGGAAAGGAGGCACCCCTGCCAGAACTTAGTATGCAGAACATGTTGCTGAGGCATTCAAGTGACTCATCTTCACTAAGAATTGTGAATCCTCATAACTTGAAGGCATGTCTATAGGCTGAGCTGACTCAGCCCTGACTTAAGGGCTGAGCTGGGGTATCATATATCATCATCACCAGTAACATCACTTCTAATGTGATAAAGCTTCCACCAGCCTGCCAAACACAGACATATCTTTCGAGGTAGAGGAAAATGCCTCCTTACCCTAGTGGGAAAACTTTGAGCAATCTTTTTCAGCATCTCAACACAAAACTAAAGTGTACTTCTGTATTGAAAGATATTAATGTCAAATGAAAACTTCTTACATTAGGTCAGGATAGGAAATAGACGACATGCAGTTTAACTAATTTTAAATGTTTTAAATTGGGAAAAAATTTATTGCTGTGGAGGCACTTGCTTTGAAATTAACTTTTGAATTGCTCATTAAGGTCTCTATTCCCTACATATTGCTTGAGCTACAAGTTAGCCCTCTGCCCTAACTACATGACTTTTGTGAAATCCTACATCTTAATGGTACTCTTGAGTTTAAATTGCTGAAAACAATATGCATGGCACTTGTAACATGATGAAAGCCATCACTCTGGTATATGCAACAGCATTTATGACTTTTAGGCCTAACCTTGTTCATTTCGGGAAGCCAGCTCAGTCACAACTTAGAAGCTAAGCTCTCTTATATGGAATGCGGATAGCATTAATTGAGATGTAATGAGTTAGGTGACTTCCAGCTTGTCCCTTAAGTCTGGGCCAAGTCAGATCAGCCAATAAACACTACCTCACCAGAATACAGTGCCTTAGAAAATTGAGATTCCATGTGTTGCATAAGCAATCCCATCCAAATCATTCCCCAATAGATCTTAGCAAAAGGACTTTTAAATGGTACTAAACAAATTTGTGTCCCGAAGTTGGTCTTCTTTGACCCTAAGATATCTAATTTGAATCGTCTGATGTATAAAGACCTGATTGGCAAGGCAGTAATTTCAACAAAATCTGGCTTCATTCGAAAAAGAGCTATAGAGCAACACAGGATGCAGTGTTAGAGCCCAAAGGGAGAGCATGTTTCCCCAATTTTCAAAAACATAAAGCTGGCGGAAAATATGCACAAATTGCCCGAGAAAAGTTTCCCAGAGTTCCCTTCCTACCTTCACTTTCACCTCAACGCCATACTTACGACTAGATGCAATAGTACCCTGGAGACTACTGATTTTAATGCAGCAATCCTTCTGAGACTTCAATTGTAAGTTGAAACGCACAAAATGGACACTGCCAGATATAGCAAAGTGAACCATGAGGCTGAACAGAGCAATTTTCGAAGAATGTATGGTTGGGGATAAATCCTCAAAGGTAATCTAGGCCTAAATAGCCTACACGGTAAGGTCTGGCCATTCGAGGATTCTGGCTTGTTCATGATTGTCACCAGCAAGACTAACTTCCCCGTATGCGCCAAAGCATACCAGCAGCGGGCAGCCATGACTTGAAGTGTGAGGTAGGGAACAGAATTATCCGAATCGCCATTTTCCCGCTTGGAAAACGATGTGCGCTCACATCCTATCAGCGGATGAACCTGGCTTCTAACGCGAGGGAGGAATTCAAGAAATCGAAAAGTTCTGTTGACGTGAAGAAAAAAACCTATTTCTCGTGAACCATCCAAAAATGCGCTGAATGCATCAGTGTTTGCAATTTAGTCCTGCACTGGCATTTTTTTCATGCTCTCAAGCAGTTGCACCTTATGGTTGCACCCTTCAATGAAGGGCGGCTAGGGAATGTTTTCAAGTGTTCGCAAGTGATTGCTTTAAAACTTTTTCTTCGTTAAGCATGGGCTGAAAGGATTTTTTCATAACCTCAGTCTAAGATCAAGGTATAATGAGATTTCTCTCCTCGATTAGGCAAATCATTGAAGAAGAAAATAAAGCTTTCCCATGCGAGCCAATCTCAAATCCTCGGCATCTAACCTACCCCAACAGCACAAATCTGTCTGAATTATGCCTTAATTTTGTCTTCATGGAGAGGTAAGACATCCCCAATACATCTTTAGAAGACATCTTGAATACCAGTAAATGCCCCCTTCGGAAGATATCTTCATTTTTTTCTGGAAACATATCGAAGAAGCTATCAAGATACATCCTCCTAAATATGATTAATTGATCATATAGAGAAAACAATGATTAACTTCAATCCCAGTCAACTTACTGGAGGAAGTACCTGAACTTTACTGTCAATCCATCGAGAGTTTTCCCCTATTAATGGAAATATGTAAGCCTATCCAATCAATCCTAATATGGAACGATAATATTAATTCATTTAGAGGATTAATGTTCCGAATCATTTCAATGCACGGGAGGGAGAGCTTACTATTTGAACCATGCACCCTCCATCCATCCCCTTGGCCAGGATTACACGGAGTTTCCTTGATCTGGATTAATATTTTAGGAAAAAAATTAATCAAAGTATTTTAAAGTATATGCTGCGCTTGGAAAAATATTAGATATCAAATGTAAAATACTGGGGACTTCTAACAGCTGCAATAAGGTGTGAATCGCCTCTGCGGCGATTTCGGCGCCATCATGCATCAGTTGTGAGAAGCTTCTAGTTTGAGCTAGAAACCTATTATGTGCTTTGTGTCCTATGTCAGGTAAACTTTAGGGCATTCGTGTTAAGAAGAAAAGAACATCAAAACAGGCAGATCAGAAGAGATCCGATGAGAGCCGACTATACGCAATAAGAGCTGGACAGGGAAGGTATCGTACGTGCACGTTTGTCATGTCCTTCTAGGAAGGGACGAGTATGGATACATTGCAGATGTATCCACAATTGTATCCACAGAGACTACTTCAGGTTGTGAATGTGAAAATCACCTCCTTCGCCTGTGGCAGATTATACCTGGGTGGGACATAAAAAACGCGTTGAGAATTTTGCGTCTATTTCTCATCTTCCAGATGAGGCAGAGCCGGACAATTACCACATATAATCCATCTTTCCTCTCGAACCCCTGAAAACTATTAATTCTAACTACCAAGGTGCACCCACAGAGGCATTTTAACTAAGACAGCGGTTCCCAAACTGTGGGTCGCGAAATTTTTTAACATCAGCAAGTGGGTCGCGATTCAAAGAAGTCTGGGAACCGCTGAACTAAGACACCTCAAAAAGTTTCAAATCACGCATCACCTCATCTGAAAAAATGTCCAATGAGTTCACCCTTGTCATTGCATACGGCACGTAATCTTGCTTTCTATTGTGGGCGAGGCCGCCGAACGGGATTACGTGTTCTCCGTGTACGTAAAAGGGCCCTTTTATATACGTACTGACTCCAATTAGATAAGTACCGGTGAGATTCGGAAGGACTAGGCTGGTCAGCAACAATAACAATGGATATATTGAATGTATACCACTCACTCGTATAGTCTACAGGCACCAGCAGGAGGGAAGTTGATACGTCAAGGGCGACGGGAATAATTTANCCAGGCAGGAGGGAAGTTGATACGTCAAGGGCGACGGGAATAATTTACAGGTCCCTATACAATCCAGACATACAATACACACCGTTGTACAATGTCACACGATCACATCCACACTGTCACTGTCCACTCTCTAGTCTCGCCTCCACCCCCTTGTCCCGGTCCGGGGGAGGTCTCTTGGAGGTGGGAGGTGTCCGGTAGAGGGTGGCTCCTCCTCCACTCCTCGGTGAGGTCCGCCGCTAAGCCCACACTATTAAGTGATGGGCTTGTGGGTCTACTCCAAAGTGATCCCATTCCAAGCATGTTGACTGTTGGCTCCCTGTTCTGCCATGGAACGATCCATATTGGATCATTCGATTTACCAATCAAAAGGTGATCACCTTTTAGCGCCAAGAAAGACTTCAGATTCACGTCATACCATGTTTGTGAAGTAGCCCCTCTTTCCGAACTGTGCAAGATATGGCCAATTTTGGAATATCTTAGTCGAATAGCCACAGGGAGTGTACCCCGGTAGATATAAATTTATAGTTTTCATGGAGCCGAGAGGAAAGATAGTTGTATACGTGGTAAGATTTCTACCCTTCTGCCTCATCTGGTCGTTGAGAAATGAACGCGAAAATCTTGGTATGTTTTTTATGCGCCTAGATTTTCGCGTTCATTTCATTTTGCATTCGTATCATTCGTAGATATACCCACGTATATTTAAAGACGTCTTACTGAAGTCCACAATATGTAATTAGAAGACTAAGGCATTGGTTGATTTCAAAGCGGCAGTTCAGTTGCAGTTGAACTATAGTATGACTGCAGTTGCTACTCACTTCAGTTTCTTCTCTGTTCAACTGCAGTCAGATTGTGGTCCAACTATTCGTTGACTCATTTCTAACTTACTCGTAAGTTTGCTGAAACGGTTCGACGCCAGCCTTACGTCGGTGTCATATTCGTGGTTCAGTTCGTCATTGGGCATCTGTTCCGCTGCATACATCGCGCTTTAGGACTTAATCACACTCGGGGTGCTCCATTGCCTCGATTTGCGAATGGCAAATGCAAGCAATGTATCATCCTCGTTCCACCTTGACATGGCGAGGAAAACCAAGCAGCACCAACTTTAATTCAAACGGAGTAAGAAGAAAGCGAGACATAAATATATGTATTATAGATAGCTTGCCCTTCCCATCGAGACAGTTGCCTCAGGGTGGGTCTGGTTCGAGTTCTCCAGGCGCCATGATGGAAGAGAGGCTTCAGACATACTAATTTGTTGGAACCATAGTCACACTCTGGTCAGACCAAAGTCTGACTAAGTTTGAACTGGGAGTCAGGGAGACTGGGAGAGTGCTCCAGTTCCTCTCTACTAGTATATGTACAAATAAAGGCAAGTTCTCAGACGTTAATGCGTCTGAGAAGCTTTAAAATTAGTATCAGTTCTGCCTGTCCTGTTTTCCTAACCAGAAGCCGCCAGGGTTCTTTCGTCTAGCCTTGTGCCTTGTATCTTCTTTTCTTTAGGTAAAGGGGAGGAGCAAACATACAAAATCAGCCATCACGGACAGGTTGATACAGGAATAAAAGTTTCTTTTAAATTTCAGTGGAAGATCCGAATCCGCCTTCTGAGGAACCGCGGTAATGGTCTAAGGTGTGACCCACATGGGTTTGTGACCCACCTCAGTTTGACGTGTGACCCACACCTATTAGAGCAGACTAAACTGCTGTTCACTTAAACTGAAACAATGTGAATTTCATTTTCATATATACAAATATACAATCACGGGGCCGCCTATGCCCTTGCCAAGCAAGGTTCGGCGCAATCTGGGCTGGGAAGGGCCTGCTCGTGGGTATGAGCCTCTCTTCTTGCAGGAATCGCAGAGTAGCCGCCTTGTCAGAGCAAATAACTCCCATCTCGATGATGTTAGGGTCTCGGGTCCGCGGTAGATCAGCCATTCCTATTTCCGCTATGAAGTGGTTACTGAAAAAGCTGTTTAGGTAATGGTCTAAGGTGTGACCCACCTCAGTTTGACGTGTGACCCACACCTATTAGAGCAGACTAAACTGCTGTTCACTTAAACTGAAACAATGTGAATTTCATTTTCATATATACAATCAATTTACTCTCAAGGCCCTCACTAGAAAGTGTCTTTAAGCGCCTGAATGTAGGCCTCAAACCTTCGAGCAGGCGGGTTGAGGCCCCGCCACCAGGCCTCAACGAGGTACCTGGGTAGAAGTTCTGGCGTTGTCCCGTGCATCTTCTTGAGGACCTTCAATTTTAAGTCCACCCACAACCTCTCGATTAACTGGGTGTGGGCGCCAGTGTCGGGGTCAACAAAGTTGGTGCTGTGGTTCACCGTGCGGTGCTCGTATCCGTGAACCTGAATCCCGCCATACGCTGGCCACTCGTTTGAGTGGAGGATACTTCCAATCTCGACCTCCGCAGTGATTATGGTATGCAGCGTTGCTCTGTCGCGGCGCTGCACCACAAAGAAGCGACGCTCTATAAAGCCATCCGAGCACTTGTGAGCAAGTCCGAATACCCAAGGCCCCTCTATTCGTCGGCCGTAGTTTCGCGCACCAGCTGGCACAGCGTTGGATTCGACTTCCCCGTCATTATCAGTCTCACTTGCCCCGTTTCCCGTTGTCTCAACATCACCTTGAAGCAGGCGTCCCCAGTGTGCCTTCCGTCGCCCTCGAAGTAATGTTTCAGCCATTTGGACGATGGCGCCAACTCCACCCATCCTCGCTCGCCGCTCCCACAGTCGTAATGGCACGTCTCGGCACAGGTTGAACCAATCTACGACGTCCTGGTGGCTTTGTCCGGAGAGCCTCTTTGCGTCAATTGTCAACGTCAACGTTGCAACGTCAACACGTCGTTACACCATAAGAAAACTAATTCAAGGATGGCGCAAATGGAAAGATTGCTGTGCGCCCTGCCACGACTATCAAAATAGGTGAACAATTCGTTCGGCCTCCGGACGGACTGCGTGGACCGACATCCACGTTGTTTACATTTGAACGCCGGGTACGTCGCGATGGTCCCGTCAGGCTTTCGTTTCCGGCGGGTGATGAATTGTGTCCCCATCACATCCAGGACGGGTACATCGAGGAGGTACCGCTGTGTAATGTAATACGCCTTGCGCCTGTAAGCAAGCGACAGCACTCTCCTCACTCATAATGAGTGCATAAAACTCGCGAGCAAGCATGGCCTGCTCACAAGAACACGAACAGCTTATGTTACCATGAATGGAATCGATTCAAGTAAAAAGGGGAAAACAATAATATGTACTTACTCCAGTGTCTGCACAGGAACAGGTGAAGCAAAACGCGAAAGACAGATTGTGCATGTTGTTTACGTTATATATCGCTTATTTAGCGCCAATTGTGTGTCTTTGCAATGATCAGCCAATTGGCAACGGGCTGTAGAGGCCCACTTGGTTGAAAGCGTGGGCACAGCTGTCCATGCAGCAATACAGTACAGCTACATTTTGCAGTGGGTCACACCGTAGACGATTACCACTGTTTATATAGGGAAATTCTTTGTGACTTAGTTTGAACTTGGGGGGGTGGACATGTACTATACCCATGGCAGGAGCGAACTCAGGGAGGGGGCGGGAGGCGTTGTTAGGGGCTTGGCCCTGACAACGCCCCCCCCCCCCCCTGCCCCTCACCTCAGGCTCGTCAACCTTATCGGAACCATCCCCCTCTTGTCTCTGGGTATGCCCCGGAGAGGTGGTTCGTTCCTAAAATGACACATTTTACAGTATTCCTGAAGTGGACGCGTACTATACTATTACCATCCCGTATACCAACTTGAGTTGGTGTTCGTTATAGTATCATCACAGGATATAGAGGTTGAACAGCCTTGGTAGCTCGCGGAGATGTATCGTCCCACGATCGAATCCAAAGCGGTGGAGTTCGAGCCGGATGGAATTATGGTT